GATGTCAAAACACTCTGGCATACATTAAGATGGATATTTTCAATTATTATTAAGAATCATAACAGGGCCTCTCGGTGGCGCAGCGGTTGAGCGCTGGGTTGCAAAGCTGCCCGCAGCTTCTGCAGCGCTAGTTCGATTCCCGGCTGCTCCCCGGCCACCAGAGGAGGGTCCCACATGGCGCACAGACCTCTCCTGCCGCCCGCTGCTCCCCTCAGCAGTGTACTTTGGTCCTTTTGCCTGCTGTGCTCCCCGCTCTGGCTCTGGTGAATTCTCTCACCCTCCCGCGCTTCTGACTGTACCCAGTGTTTGCATAAATAAATAAATAAATCTTTAAAAAAAAAAAAAAGAATAACAATTGGCATTTATAAAATTAACTCCATAAACCTCTTCACAATCCACGGAACTCAACCCTTCAACCTCTACCATATTTTCCTCACTTCTAATCCTTGTACCCCCTCTCCAATCACTACAATGTCCCTGATTTGGGCTTTTACAACTTAGACTCCGCATGGCCCTCTGGGACAGTTACAGTATTATGTTTTTCTCTTTCTAACTGAATGGTTTTGGCAGCATATGTGATACTGGAGGAGTTTGGTTAATAGCATTTGATCAATAAATCAGTCCACAACCATCCCACTCTGGTGCAACAGAAACTTCCAGAACCAAGAGACTATAAAGGGACCTTCCAAAAATCACATCTGACCTATGACTCCCTCTTGCCAAGTTCTCTGTGTTCTCACAGCCTACACCTCTGTGAGGAAAGATGCCAGCTCACTAACATTGTGGGCCTATCCATTTGAATCAGCAGAACTAATATTCGCTGATTTCTTTGAAATAGGTTTAATAATTACCTTTAGAGACAGTTTGTCTAAAATTGTTTTGCAATGCCTTTAGTCTCTAGTTTTACATACCAAAGATGAAAAAATTTCCTTGTAAGTTTTATTCTTCTGAACCTTCATAACTTTTCACATCTGAAAATTATCAGATTTAAGTCGCCACAGGCATATCATTACTCTGTCGCTTACAAATAGCCTTAGTTTAAGGAAATGTTTGCCTGAAGCCTCTGCTATAAACCACAAGCCCAAATCTGTGTCTACACTAAGGAAGAACAGTCTCAGAGTATCATGGAAAAGGACTTCCCCAGACACTCCAAAATACTGATATTTTAAAGAAAAGACCCCCTAAGTATGAACTTTCAGTTAATAGCATGTAAACAATTTTCAAACCAAACCAGCAAACTGAGTCCAAACTGCCAGAACTCTAGTCAAAAAGCAGACAGCTTCAAGATCCAGCAGAACAAGAAGTAGTTGTGTAGGACTGAATGAACTATAAAGGAAAATCTGTGATTATTTGTTTGGAATATTGTTTTAATGTTCTACTTTAAATTGATGTTGTTTAAATGTATTGGTCCTAATATATAAAGACTTTTTTTCTTTCTTCTTAAACTCCATGTGATTCATAACAAATTACTAGACTTTTCTCTCTTAAACTGAAATAAACATTTTTTAAGTATTATCTGATTTTCACTGACCCACACATACAGATCAAGAATTCACAAACTCTTGCTAAATCTCCTTATTTCACTTGACAGTACGGTTATTCACAAAGGTTTAGTAAGAATCTGTTCTCCTTTTTACTAGGATATAATGGAAGAACTAGTTGTACAACCCAGGTCTTGCCCAGAACATTTTTTAGAATGATGCTCATTTAATCCAGTATGATGCACTAATGCCCACAAAAATCCTCTCAGAAAAATTTACCTAGTATTTGCCTTGTGAGGTTTCAATTTTGTGGGAGGTAAGGAAGATGACTTCTTGGCAGACCAGAAACTTTCAGAAATTGTGGGGTTCTTGAAAGGGAAGGAGTTCACCCAAATTTATAGATAATATGAGTGGTATCTAATGGAAAGTTTCTTGGATTTGTTTTCTAAATTCAGGAGAGCAAATAATACAGACTTTTGAAAGTTCAACCTGTGATCTTTTAAGAAAATTTCCAAAAGTTAATTTTGTGGCTTTTCAAGAATACATGAACTGTCAATTTACCAAATAAACTTAAGGAGGACTGGATGGTGAATTAACACTTTGCTGCATCTGTGTGACCAGTCCAGACCAACAAGATCGCCTTTTTACTTTCTTCCTTTCTCACTGAGCTGCGAGTGTCTTATCCTATCTTGCTTCTAATTCTCAGTAATTGGCAGAGTCTGGTATAAAGAAAGCAGTCAACATTTTTTATTAAAAAATTAAATATCAAGTTATGAAACTGCATGTGTTCCTGATTCCAACTGTGAGGATAGATGGAGAGTTAGGAAGGAGAATGAGTTGAACCTCACCAAGCTTGGTTTAATTTTTCTTCCCAGCTCTGGGGAGAGGGAGAATTCATTAATAATAAACACATAATTCACTTTAAAATGCTCTAGAAATAAATGGACACAAATAAAAATTAGGAGAGATGAAACAAGATGATTATTGTGTGTGATGGGCACTTGGTGATTATATTCTTCTATTTCAATGCATGTTTGAAATTTTCCATAATAAAAAGATTTAAAAGACAATCACTTGAAGGGGAGGGAGATTCCAGAAAAGAAGTCTGAGGGCTTTGCAAGGAAGGAAGTGATGGATGAGTGAGTTCTGGCAGGTTTCTGTTGTCTTCTGGGATTAGCACCCAGCAGTTCAAACCACTCCTAACCTTGCTCTGCCTTCCTCTTCTGGCCACCAAGAGCCAGGAAAGGAGCTGCAAAACACCGGCAGTTGCAAGAGTGAGTGAGTCTTGGGCGGGGGAGGGGCAGAGGAGGGGCTGGGGTGGGGTGGGGTGGGGTGGGGCGGAGTGCTCTGTGCCATTGTTTCCACCTGCAAGCTGGCAAAGCACACACACACACACACACACACACACGCACACACACACACACACACGCACGCACGCACGCACGCACGCACACAGCAGCTGGGTGGAGCTGCATCAATCCAGTCTGAGGCTGGGCTATGGTCAGGTACTGCTGTGAGTAGAACGGTAGAACGGGAATGGAAAATTCTAAGGACCAAGGAGGAGGCAGGAGAAGGGCATATGTCTGTGAAAAGAATCAGGGCTGGAGACAAGGGAAAGAGACGAGGAGGTGGGAAGCACTGTCCCCTCTATTTGTCATCCCCTGCCCCCAACAGTGGCTCTGGAGGGAGGAGTCAGGAACAAGCTGAGTCAACCTGGCCCTGGGACAGACGGTGCAAGAGAGAGAATGGACGTTGTTTATTGGCACTGGACTACAAATATTCCTTCAGATCATCTTCAGGTTTTCATGGCTGCACGTGGGACCAGGCTTATTGGTAGATACAGAGTAAAAATCACCTGATAGTACGTGAGTTTTGAGATTTCCTTCTGCTGTACTCCAAAAAAATTTCTCACCTACTAGCTGGTCACACTAAGATTCCACCATTTGAGATACATTGCTTTAACATTATCTTCTTTCTCTAGTTTCTTTTAAGAAATGAGATTGCCCCCTAAAGGACCAACACATTTAATTGGACTTGTAGTCAATATCAGTTTAGTTTGATTCTCTATAACAGAATGCATTGCCCTTTAGAGATGGAAAGAAATAACACCATTTATAAAGTGCTGATCAAGTACCAGGGAACTCTATCCTTAACACTGTAAGGTAAGGGATACTAAATCATCTTATAAATGTGGAAATAAAGAATTAGGAATCTTTAATAAATTTCCCAAGTAGTAAATAACAGTGTGGATAGAAAAAAGTATGAAGATAAATGGTCAGAGAAACTCCACAGTAGGAGACTCTAGAAAAATTCCTGAGGTGCATAGCTATCCCTAAGGAAACAACACTGGTAAAGTGTGTGTGTTTGTGTGTGTGCATGTGTGTGTCTGCCCATGCACTGGGGTGGAAGATTTATAAAATCAGTCATTGTAAAATGGTAGGTAATAAGATCACAACTCTTTCAGAATGACCACAAAATAGTTCAACAGTGAGTGTCACAGAGAAAGGACCCAACTCTCTACAATTGTCGCTAACTTGAGGTAGTCATCAACAAATTAAGTGGAACCACATTAAATTCAATGGGCAAAAAAGCCTCTGAAGTCAAAAGGAGATATACTGGCTTACATTGGTGGCTTCTAATCTTTTAATCACTAAGAACGCTTTGTTATTCTCAGTCCTCCTGGATTCCTATAAGCTACATTTGCTAAATTACAAGTATTTCTTGGGTTTGACTGAGATGAGAGACAGTAGCATCCAGAAGGCCAAATGACCACCCAGGAAGGGGTTCAGAAGGCAGCGTTATCACCACTGCTGGAGCCATGTGGATCCCGCCCACAGCTCAGGAGTCAAGTCCATGCTTGTTTTGGTTTATACATCCAGAGTTGTTCAGTCTCACAGGAATGACTCTAAACCATCAATGCCAAATAAAACTATGAATAAGAGCTGTGGAATCAAGCTTAGCCGAGGTTTTGCCATTTTGTATATCCTCCATCTTGATATGTTAGTCCTTGTACAGCTCACTCCGGAGATAGTTTCAACAGTCACAACACCTCACTCCACTTGGTGACGAAAAAGCAGACCACCCCAGCCGTCAATGAGGGCAGTCTTATCCATAAATGAGACAGCATCTCTAACCGTCCAATCAGTTTGAAACTATAACCGTGCATGCCAAAATGCCTTTGTAGTAGCCAATGAGTAATTGCCAGCTTGTTTCAAAATTCATGCCTGCTTGTGACCCTATATAAGACCCCTGCTTCCTCTGTTCGGAGCTCTCGATATCTGCCGCTGAGTTGGTAGGTGCCGTGAGCCAGGACTTGAGTCTGTAATAAACTCCCTTTTGTGTTTGCATCGGCTGTCTTTGGGTTCTTGGAGGCTATGCTCGCTGAGACTGCTGATCTTGGGCACAACAAGAGCCACATTGAAAATTATGCACAGTGGGAAGTAAATCTGCCCCACACATCCTCTCCCTGACTCAAGCAGGAGGCCAACCAGAAAGAGATGTTTACCTGGTGATCTGGGGCAGTGAGTAGTTTTGAGGTTCAGTCGGGCCAGGATGAGGTGGAGACACATTAAGGACTGAGTCACATCTTGCTCCTGAACAGTGACAGCTTACAAGGAAACAATTGTTAGAAAAGCCTGAACATGTATTGCAGATTTTGGGTGGAGGAGCACTACCCTCCCAACCTCACCTACCACCCCCAGGTTACCAAATGGACAAAACAGACCCTATGGACATGATGTTTTGCAACAACACACCTTCCAATGATTCCAATGATTCAGGAAAAAAATGTACTTGGCAGGTGTCAACAATTGACGAATTAGGAGGAAGGTATCCTACTGTTATTTGCACTTTTCCATATACTTGAAGATTTTAAAAATTTAAAAAATGGGGAAGAGGATATTGAAAATTTCTTTAAAATATTATCAGGGGCCTCCCCTGGTGGTGCAGGCAGTTGAGTGCCATGCTGTGAAGCTGTCTGCAGCCTCTGCAGTGCCAGTTCAATCCTGGCCAGCCAGCGAGGGTCCCACATGGCACGGCAGACCTCTCTTGTCTCGGCCGCTGCTCCCCTCAACAGTGTATTTTGTCAGTCTGCCTGTTCTGCCCCTGCTCTGTCTCTGGTGAATCCTCTTATCCTCCCATGCATCTGGCCTGTACCCTGGTTCTTGTATAAATAAATAAATAAATCTTAAAAAAAAATAAAATATTATTAAATCCAGAATAAGGACACCAAATTGGTAATAGTGTTATGTTGATTAAGGGGACAAAGGAATTCATTTTGTTCTTTGTTGTTCTCTGTATTGTCCAGTGATCTACATTAATATGTATTAATGTTCTACATTAATGCTCTTTAAGCGTATAAGATTTTTATTTTTTAAAGTATGTGTACAGACACCTATTTTAAGACCACAGCAAGGACTCTGCTTTCTGCTCCTGTGGCCTTATTCACTGCACCAAATACCCCTCCTGCCCAAGTCCTGGCAAAGTTAAGTTCCCTATAAAGCACATTTCTCAATCATATCACTAGTCCCATAACCCTCTTCTCCAAACACTTTGTGCATATACATGCACACATATACATACATGTGTGCCCACATATACATACTGCCCACATATACATACATCCTCTAAACTACTCTCCTGGAACAAATGACTTCCTTCCCACTGACTGCATTTTTGTGCTAGTGTAGCCAGACACCCTCCATTTTGCAACCTTCTCTAGACTACAAATTTAGTAACAAGCAGAATTAAACTTTTAACTCACTTAAGTGTATTTGCTCCTTGGGATTAACTGTTACATCACTGAATTGCACTCCCCTACTCCCTCTGTTAGGGGAGCTACCATCTTCACACCCTCCCCCACTTTCCCCACCATTTACCTGCAGCCTCCTTGCACTAGCTGCTGGGAATGAGGGGAGTAACTGGGCAGTCAGGTGAAGCTGTATAACTTGGAAGGCAGGTGGGCTAAGAAAAAAGAGAGGACTCTTGCGTCTACAGCACCCTGATTGCTGGGAAGCAGACTTGGAGGAGACACTCGTAGAGACACAAGAGACATGTGAGTAAGAGACCTGTAGGGAAGCTGACAATGGCAACCAATATCTTGTTGTAGTATCTCCTTTTGTTCTAGTTTTCTAGTATCTGCTTCAGAACCCCTTTCCTCTGGTTCCCTGCCAGAAGGTGCCTTAGGCTTGTGATAACCTTTAGGCTTCAGCAGCCTTGCTTCAGGCCAATGTTGTTTGGCTAGGCATTTAGCACAGGGCATGGGTAATTAGGAGTTTAATTGTGGAAAATATCCTTTTTCCTTTTTCTATGCACACTAATTCTCCTAAAGATCTTTCACACTATGAGTCTACTTTGCCTTTGTGTACATGGATGGTGGAATATTTTTAGAGCTTGCAAGGTTAAGGATCCCAGGTATTCCTGGTGGCATACTAACACTTCCTTATGATTAACTGTTAACTTGCTCCACATTATTTCTGTAAGATTTAAGAAAACTGACTGTTATAATGCTAATAAAAATTCTCTGTACCTCTCTGAGTTGATAATGACATCAGAAAAAAACCTGTGTTGATTGCTGAGAAAAGGCCCTGCCATCCATTGCATGAAGACAAACATACTCTAGTGCATAAGACCTTTAATGAAAAGGAACTTTAATGCAATTAGTGTGCAATAATGATAAGAGAAAGAGTATAGTTTCCAGATGAAGCACCCAAAGCTACCCATCCTCTTGTGGGTAAATGCCCAGTAAAAGTAGAGCCACTGAGGCCCAACATCCTGCCACAAGTCTAAGGCACTTTATGGTGCAGACCCATTGGAAAGGGGCAGAAAGAGCCAGGCAAGTCTGGAAGGAAAAGGGGAAAATCAAAGTCCAAGTCAAGATAAAGGTTGCCATTGTCAGCCTCCGCATGGGCCTCTCACCCATGTCTCTGTCTCTTTCAATTGTCTACTTTCATGTCCCCCAAGTCCCTGGTACAAGCCCAAGGCCAAGAAGCAAGCACAACTTTTGCTCATGTCTCTCTGTTCCATGTGCCTCCTCCAGGTCTTCTTATCTCCCTTCTTCAGGCTTTCCTTGATGTTTCTCCACTTCTCCCTTCTTTTCCCAGTCTTTTCTAGCTTCACCTCCCTGCCCAAATCTACCCTTCTTTAGGGTGGGGCAGGGAATCTGGAATCTCCTTTTCCCGTGGAGATTAGCCTATCACAATGCCACCTAGACTCTTGGCACCTCCTCGGATCAGGAAATGCAAAGCCCCCAAATTTCCCTCACATTCATTCTCTCCCTATAAAATCACAGGACTCCTGCAATTTGGGGAGCTCTAAGGTGCTAAGTGGGCTGATGACTCCCTTGAAGGCCATCTCCAAAAACTCCTTTATGAAAAGAGAGTTCTTGAGGCTCAGTTTGGTTTTCTGGGCCCAAAGGAAAGACATAGTTTAGTCTCTGTCAAGGATTCCACCCCATGAGCAACTGTTTCCCCAAAGTTCCAGTAAACATACATACACCTATCCTCTCTGAGTCGCTGTCTTAATCCCCTAGTCTTGTGCACTGGAGTATGTTTTGTCTTGATGCAGCGGATGTCAGAACCTATTTAGAGCAGGAAGGTTTAGGGGTACTCTGCCCTGTAACAACTCTACAGCAGGTCTGTTGTGCCCACGATCAGCAGACTTGGCGAGCATAGCCTCCAAGAACCCAAAGACAACCGATGCAAATACAAAAGGGAGTTTATTACTTACTCGAGTCCAGGCTCACAGCACCTTCCAATGTAGCAGCAGGTATCCAGAGGAAGCAGGGGTCTTTTATAAGGTCAAATCATGCTGGCAGTTACTCATTGGCTACAAGGATGCGTTCTCCAACTTTGCCCAGCTATAATTCTAAGCTGACTGGCCTGGTCGAGATGCAGCTCCAGCCTGCAGCTCCAATTGCAACAAGTTTGCCCTCATTGGTGACCGGAGGGCGAGGGTGGAGTGAGGGTCGAAACTATCTCTGGAATGCAGTTGTCTTTCCTGGGACAGCAAAACCTAAAATTCTAAAATGGCAGTTACACACAAAATGACAAGCAATGGCTAAGAATACTTACGCTTGGTTCCACAAGGTCAAGCAGAAGCACACAGACATTGAAATATAATTATTGCAACAAAAAAAACTGTGTGACTTCCCACCTTCCTTCCCTGTAACTAGAGTGCTGGGGAAGTACACTATTGCTATTGATGCTTTTGCAATGTTTCAACAGACTTGATTTGAATAGAATTTTAGGGACTGTAAGGTCAAAGAGTCTTTTCTATAACTTTATCAAATATTCATATTCAATTCTTCAAGAATGTAACGCAACAATTTCTTTTTTGTGGAGCTCTTCTTAATACTGAGTGGAATCTGTCTCCCTGTTCTAGTCTTAACACTCTAAAGTGCACAGAGTAAATCTGATTCTTCTTCTACACCAACAGTCCTTTTAAAATGATAGAAGATAGGCCTCCCTGATGGTGCAGGGATTAAAGTCTCAGTGCTATCACTAGCCACTGTGGCCTGTGTTCATCAGTGGCCAGTTAACCCAGCCAGTTAACCCACATGGTACAGCAGATCTTCCCCATCTTGCTCACTGCTCCCCTCAGTGTATTTCAGTAGATCTGGCTGTTCTGCACCCCACCCTGTCTCTGGTGAATTCTCTCACCTCCTGCACCTCTGGCCTATGCCCCAGTTCTTGCATGCATAAATAAATAAAGTAAATCTTTAAAAAGATCCCCTTTCAGTGGCACCAGCAAGTTTCTGCATGAGACAGACATTGGTTATCCAAAAAGACAGGATTATTATGAAAAAAGGGAGAGAAGAACAAAGGACACTGTATAGACACAAGCAGACAAAAAAGGCTGCCCCTAAAAGGGACAGGTTTGCTAAGAGAGGTCTGCATAGTCACAGGCGGGCAGGCTTGGGAGGAAGCTGCCTCTGCTGCTTTGCAAAAAGAGGTAAGTGAAGAGAAGCACTGGCAGGGTCACAGGTCACAGGCAAGCAGGAGACTGCTGGCCTGCAAAGGGAGAGTTGGTGGCAAGGAGCTCCTGCATAAGTACAGCTGGGCAGGAGGGCTGCTGCTCCTGCTCCACAAAAGGTTTGCTGAAATGAAACACTTGCATAGTCACAGGTAGGTAGAAGGACTACTGCCCCGTGCCAGTCCAAAAATTACCTTGATATAGTCTTCTCTTCAGGAGGGGCTCATTCCTTTGTGGAGTGGTTCATTTTTTATTGACTTGAATAACTATGTAGAATTTGAAAAGGACCAGAGATTCTACAATGGTCTCCATCTCCATATCCTCACCTGTGGTCTGGTCTGCACCCAGTGACACTCTACACAGCAGTCAGACACCAGCTTGGGTCTGTAGCTCCTTATCTAGAGGTGAGCATCTAAGGATTTTTCATTTCTACAGTTGTTTAAGGACTATGGTAATCACTTCTACTCCTCCTCCAACTCCCGGAATTGCATGAGCCAGGTTTCTGGTCTTCTGGTGCCTCCTTTCCAACTTTTCTACTCTTAACCTCTATCACTGGCTACACTGGCTCATCTCCAATGGACCTCAAGCTTATTTCTCCTCTGACCTTTCATATTCAGCCTAAACATGTGAAATGTTTCCACATTTTACCTACCTGCATCATCGCCACTCTCTGTAGATTCAAAAAATACGGAGACAGAGTCCTGAATCTGAGTCCTGGCTTAGCTATTCCTTTGTTAAGTGATGGTGGAAAAGTTGAATAACCTTTCTCTTATCCTTTCTTTTTTCATCTGAAAAATGAAAATGAAAATAATATTAATGACTCTTACTGTTAAAACAAACTGTTTTTGGTCCAAAGTGGAGAAATCCATGCCAGGTCAGATACCAAGTGCTGGTCTTGGTTTCCCTCAGCCAATAAAAGAAAACAGTTTGAGAAGAAAAGTAGTTTAATTTGTCAACAAATTGATGAGGGCAGCAGACTCATCAAGAATGACTCACCATCATTCTCTTTGGCAGAGGGCAGGTGTATTTATCCAGAGTTACAAAAGAGTCAAATGAGCATGAGTTAGCATATCCATCCCTGTGAGGCAGGTATCTGGAGATTTGGGGAGGTTCAAATTGGTGCCAGCTTGCTAGCAATTTCAGTACCATAGTCTTCAGGATGTTCTTTTTCCTTGGAATATAAGAAAACAGGTTGTTAAACTTAAAGGGTAAATTAATAAACCTTATCTGGAGGGACAAGAGAGAGAGAAGTGCTTCTTTCCCGTTACAGGCCGACCATGACTTACTACCTAACATAATTAGAGTTTCAGCCTCTCCCAAAAGGAAATCTTCAAAAGGAAAATTTCCAGAAGGAAATTTAAACTAACCAATCAAGAATGTCCTACTGGGGCCTCCCCGGTGGCGCAGCGGTTGAGCGCTGGGTTGCGAAGCTGCCCGCGGCCTCTACATCGCCGGTTCGATCCCCAGCTGCTCCCCGGCCACCAGAGGAGGGTCCCACATGGCGCACAGACCTCTCCTGCCGCCCGCTGCTCCCCTCAGCAGTGTACTTCGGTCCTTCTGCCTGCTCTGCTCCCCGCTCTGGCTCTGGTGAATTCTCTCACCCTCCCGCACTTCTGACTGTACCCAGTACATGTATAAACAAAACAAACAAACAAATAAATAAAACATGCCTCTATTAAAAAAAAAAAAAAAAAAAAGAATGTCCTACTGGTCAGCATTTGTGAGGTAAACTGCCTGAGAAGAACTTGCCCTCCCCCACCTTCCTCCACAGGAAGGTAGCTTTGTCTGAAGTAATCCTATTCTTTTGCTAATGACCTTGTCCCACCCTATTTCTGACTATAAAAACCTTTCATTTTGATTAACTACTTGCTTGATGATATAGGCTGCCTGACTTCATAAATCATTTAATAGAGCCAATTAAGCATTTCAAATTAAAAATCGATTATTATTTAGCACCACTTAATGGTTTCTAGAATTAGCAAAACTAAAAAGAGCAAAGACTATACAATCTTTTGTAAACTGAAAGTACGATGTGCCTGTTACATGCTGTGGTTATTCAGGTTAAATATCCAATCACAACAGGAATGTCTTCTTCCCATAAAAGACCAGGTCCTTTTCTACTTGCCTTTTTAGCTAGCTTTGAAATTCAACATCAAAGTTTCTTTTACAGTGATTACCCCAGAAGAATTAGTCTATTTATAATAACAATGATCTAGTTGTGTTCTTTTTAAAAATGCTTCAATGTTACAGCTACAGATTCCTTTGTACTAGCTTTTCCTCCACACACAATCATATTTATAATTGTTTCTTTCCCTCCATATTTAACTAACAGACCGTATTGTCCAAGTATGCCCCAAAGTCTGGAGCTTCTAAGTATTTAGCTTCAAGATAATGGGGAAAAAGGGCTGTGTTCCCTCTAAGAGTCCATAATAGTTACCCTGCAGGTGTTCCAAGACTGGAAGAGGGGCACCCCAAAACCCTCAAACCTGTCCACTCTAAATTGGTTCTGTCATCCACTGCATCAAGACAAAACATATTCTAGTGCATAAGACCTTCAATGGTAAGGAACTTTAATACAATTAGTATGCAATACAGAAATGGGGAAGGATGGGGAAGACCAGAGTTTCCAAACCAAGCACCCAAGTTAGCCATTCCCTCATTGCTAAATGCCCAGACAAACGGGGCCTCCAAGGCCCAAAAGCCTGTCACAAGTCTCAAGCACCTTCTGGTGGGGACTCACAGAAAAGGGTCAGAAACAGCCAGACAAGTCTGCAAATGTTACAGGGCAGGGAAAGAGATACCCCAGAACCTCCAAACCTGCCTTATCTAAACAGATTCTGCCATGTGCCATATCAAGACAAAACATAAGAACTTTAATGGAAAGAAATTTTAATACAATTAGTGTGTAAACAGAAAAGACAAAGAATATAGTTTTCAAATCAAGCACCTAAAGTTACCCATCCCCTCGTGGGTAAATGTAAAGCCAAATATGGTTGGCCCAAAGCAAGGCCCAAAAGCCTGCCACAAGTCTGAAGTACCCCTATGGCAGTGACCCATAAAAAAGGGTCAGAAACAGTCAGACATGTCTGGCAGGAAAAGAGCAAAATCAAAACCAAGATAAAAGCTGCCATTATTAACCTCCCCAGAGGGCTCTCACCCACATCTGTTTCAACCAGTCCAAGACCAAGAAGCAAGCGCAGTTTCTTCACGTGTCTCTCTGCTCCTTGTTCCTCCTCCAGGTCTCCTCACTCCATCCTGCTTCCTTTTTACTCCACTCCTCTCCAGCTTCTTCTCGTCCCTACTCAGCTCCACCCTCCCTTGGGTGGGGCAGGGAACCTGGGACCTCCTCTTTTCCTGGGGACCACCCTTTTACACAGAGACCACCTTGTAGAGTTGTTTCTCTACTCCTTTGCTCTGCTCCCTCCTTATGGACAGCAATCAAGTCAAAGTCATCCTCCTGATGTGGACTCCTTTCATCAAGAGTCACTATGACCTAACCCAGTTGTAACTGTATAATAGGCAATTTACGGGGTACTGTACAAATAATCAATTCAAGGTTCCATTATAACTCCCAGATAATAGGGTTTTTTTTTTAACATTTATTTATTTATACAAGAAGCAAGGTACAGGCCACATGTGCGGGAGGGTGAGAGGATTCACCAGAGACAGAGTGGGGAACAGAACAGGCAGATTGACCGAAGTACACTGCAGAGGGCAGCAGCAGGCGAGACAGCAGAGATCTGCTGCGCCAAGTGGATTGCTCCAAGGCCGGCGGGGATCTAATCAGCACTGCAGAGGCTGTGGACAACTTCACAGCACTGTGCTCAACTGCATGCACCACCAGGGATAGTATTAACCATTCTGTCTGTATTAACCATTATCTGGCCCCAGATAATAGTATTAACCATTCTGTCTCTGATGCCCTTTTGGAGAGGTGTGGGGATCAGTGAATAGGGTCCTTGGGTAACCTCTGAGAAAATTTTCGCAGCGTTCCCCTCTCAGTGGCACTTGGCAAGTTTACCCAGGAGACGTTTGCATAGACACAGGCAGGTGAAGGTTACATTTTTAAAGGACATATTTTTAGGAAAAGGAGAAAGAAAAAAGAAGAAGTACCTGTACAGTCACAGGTGGGAAAAAGTGCTGCTTTTTGCGAGTGCAGAAATTGCACTGAGAGCTTGTTCTTCCTTTGGGGAGGGCTTCATTCTTTTGTGGAATTGTTATTTGTTATTAAAGTATTTCTAGGGTGTGACTAGGTTGATTTGTAAGGAACGGTGATTCTCTCCAATGGCCTCCATCTCCATATCCCCCACTCTGGTCTGCACCCTGATACTCTCTATAGCAAGTATGCCCGGATAATCTCTATAGCAGCCTGATACTTGCTATAGCAGTTGGCGCCAAGGATTTTTCACCTAAGGATTTTGCGGTTCTATAGTTAGTTGGTTTAATGACTATGTTAATCACCTCTATCCCCACCTCTGATTTTAGTCTTGTGACACCTCAATCCAGAATTTTCTACTCTTAGCCTCCATCATCTATTCTTCCTATCACGCTCAAGTCCAAAATCCCAGACAAATTCTTTCCATTTCAAGATGTCTCACATCCAAGAAAAAAACCACCCCATTCACTCCACATCCTCCCTCCAGCTACCACTCCTTATATAGCAAAATTTCCTGGATTGTTGTTAGGACATGCTTCTCTGCTCCCTCATTTCTAATTCTTTCTGGTGTCATCTGTGTTGCTCCACTGAAATTGTTGTCGTTTTTTGGAGTTGTTGGTGAGACAGGGCAAGCTAGGGTTATTAGGCAGTTTTAGGGACAGTGCAGGAGGGGACCTCTGAAGAATTTAGGGAGGCTTCAGAGATAAGGACAACCCAGGGAAAGTAGCCCATTCCACTAGGAAAAACAAACATCCCAGAACCAAGGACAACATTGTTAATGCTGGTCCTGGTTTCCTTCAGGTGGTAAAGGGAGGCGGAGATTGGAGAAATGGAGAGTGGTTTAATTTATGGACACATAAGAAGGGCAGCTGTTTAACTTCAATGCAGGGATGTCCATCCAGAGGACTGGGCCATAAATTTAAAGATGCAACAAATGGGGAAAGAAAAAGCTGTTAGATAAGGAACGTGAAGATCCCCTACTCAGTAGCAAATTAAGTGAAACAGCCGAGAACTGACCAATCACAAAGAGACTGGTGAAGCTTTAGAATAATCAGGGAAAAAAAGGTATATATTCCCTGAGACACAACTCCACTTTGGCTTCCTTGCCCCTCCCAGGCCTGGTTCCCTGGCCTGGGAGTCCCAATTTATTTCTGCTCTTTTTCTCCTCAATAAACTTTTTCTAAACAAACTGCCTCTTCTCGCTTGCTTGCTTGCCTGAGCGTCTGCGAAGTTCCTGCTGCGGCTGAGACACCAACCTGTGGGGGGTCTAGCGGCTGGGGCTCAGCGCTGCCCTGCAGCCTGGAATCCATTCCTGGCTGGGAGACTGGGCCTGACAATTCCGGTATCATTGGGTTCAGAGAGCGGGGTCCTTGGGTTCACTCTGGGAAGGTTTTGTTACAGGGCAGGGAGAGGGGCACTCCAGAACCCACAAACCTGTCTGCTCTAAATAGGTTCTGCCATCCGCCGCATGGGGCAAGAAACCTGGAACATCTCCCTTTCCTGGGGACCACCCTATTACAGTTTCACCAGAGCTCCCCTTTAACTAGCACAGGCGAGTTCCCAGGCGAGTTTCTTCACGACACAGAGACATTAGTTATATCTAAAAGAGCAGGTTTG